CCCCCAACTGAGATATCAGTAAACCACAGGCTTTTTGACTAATAAATTTGAATTATTACAACTTTCCTGATGGGATTTTATGGAACTGATAAATATAGCTTATATAGCATATAAACGTATCACTGTCCTTTTTGGGAAATATGGAGTTTTTGTTTCTAACTATGTGATTCTTAGTTTTTTTGACAGAATGATGGGTAGGGTTTAAGGAACAAATACTCTTCTACTACTGGATTTACCTACTGATCCCTTCGTCATCAGGACTGTGTTTTTCCTCCCTGATGAAAACCTTTGGGTGCTGAGTGCCCAAGCCTATCTGAGTCTGATTCCATCCTCTCTATGTAGTTAACCAATATATAAATAAATATATAGAAGCAGAAACAATGTTTTAATAAAGCAAACCCCTAGCATCTCCCACCTGACTTAAAACTGTTTTTTTTTAAAGGAAAATGGGATCTAACCAAGCAAAACACTTTTACAAGTGAGACCAGAAGTCACAACAAAATAAAAATTTAAAAGCCCTATCCAATAAGGATCACACAGATAACAAGCCACCATCAGAAGTCCCTCCAGAAAGGATTGTATAAATAAACAGTTTGGAGCAGACAATTACTTCAGCTGAGCCTCAACCTGACAGCAACAAACAAGAAGAGAAAGGCCAGTTCAGGGCAGACTCCCCATCAGAAATCGAATGTCAGACTCTGAAATAGAATGAACAACATAAGAAACCCTCACTCCTCATTGTATTTAGCTACTCACTCATTCTTCTCATGGTATTTTGTGCAGCTTTTGTTTTTCCGTTTTGTATACAAATGGAGCTATAATAGATACAAAAATAAGTCTTCTTATATTTAAGCAAAATACTGTCTTTTGAGTTCTAAAAAACTTCCAGATACACGTAACAGAGACACAAAGGCATTTCCCAGTGACCTGTAATATGAAAAATTGAAAATATGAAAGATGAAAAATATAAAAAAAGCATTTTCTGAAAGTGATGAATTTTCATTTTTTTTTCAGTTGTCACATTATTGTTCTATCCCATTTATTCCAGAACAAAACATTTTTTTCTCAGTGTGAAAACTTTAATAGAAAGAATTTTAATGGGAAAAGAAATAACCATGAACAAAATTTGGGAGGTGTAGTGAAAGGGGTGGCAATCCAGAGTTTTACTGTTCAGCAGTTCATTGAGAAATACAGGTAGTATTCGACTTACGACCACAACTGGGACCAGAATTTCCATTACTGTGATGTGGTCATAAAGTGAGATATCACGTGACCACATCACTTAGCGACTGCAATTCCAGCAGTCCTGGTTGCTGTTGTTAACCGAGAATTGTGGGTCGTTAAGCGAGGACCCATCCCAAGCTAAGCCATTCCAGGCTTGGCCCCTCCTAGCCTTGAGCCTCAGTAAGTAAGGCACTGCCTCCAACACCCCCCACCCATCTCCTCCCATCTCTGCCCTTCTGGCCGCCCTGCATCCTGCCTTGCGGGGTGGCAAGCAACCCCATAACTGCGCAGCTCTGGGGCTGCTTGCCATGCCCCAGGAAGCTGCAGCCATCCCAGCCCAGTCCCAGCCACAGTTGCCCTCACCACCCTGCATTCCAAGACTCCTGCTGCCCTACATTCCATCACCCAAGCTGACTTTCACTGTCTTCTTGCTCCAAAAAGCCTCTTTGCAAAAAGCCCCTTTGCAAAAA